AGGCTAGTACAATATTTAGATTTTTCACGGCTCACGACTGTCGTTAATTTGACGTAAAACATTCAGTTTTCATGTAATATAAAACGGTTGTCGCAGATTATTGCTAGCGGTGGGTTCTACCTCAGTCTTGCTGAAGATTCTACTATACTTTAAAATAAATAATTCGACTAACGTTAATGTCTAAAACCTCTGTCACTCATTCAAAATCTTACCCGGACCACTAACCAACCAAAGTTACAGGTATGTGTTGGGTGTGCACACTATCAGCATACTTGCTGCCTAGTGCACACTTTGTATTGTCATGTCGCAATTTTGAATAAATAAATAAATAAATAAGTTCGGGAGCAGTCTGTAGCGGGCCAGATTTAGGCAACGCTGAACTTTCAACCGTGACTTAGCTAATTGAAATTGAGTGACATTGCCGACTGCCAACCATGCCCCGCACACTGCTGACCTACCCCCAATCAGTCTACAACCATGGCCCAACTTCGCGTCACTCCTTAGTGGTTTTAACGTTTTGAAACATTTGGCTGCGCTAGCCAATCTCGCAGAACACCAGCCGACCACAGCCGACCTTTCCCGGCCAACTCCCAACCGTGGTTCAACGAGGGGAGGGGGGTCGGCAGTATGCGTGAGGCCATACTCGTCAGACGGTCTATGTGTGACCACAGGCGCTAGGCCACCGAGTTTTTGTTGAAATCTACATTGTTTTGTAAGCCTTTAAAATCGTTTTGCGTATGTTAGAACATATACTGTCTACTTACTCTGTCCGTTGCCATTACAATACACCGTGAACAAGGTTCATTGAAAGATTTCCGAGAATCATCCTTTACTAGTACATGTACATGCATTGAAAGATTAAGAATGCATTTGCTGTTCTAGGACAGGCTGCAAGGGGGCGTACTTGAGTTATGCTGACCCTCTAATATACGGAAACACAGGCACATCCAGTACAATACCTCTATTTAGAGGAGGTAATAACGCAAACTTCATTGAAAGTCAAAACGGGAACCAAACGCGGGGCACAAGGTTAGTGACTCATCGACAGGCGTAATTATAAACAATCACTGAGTAAAGAGATTCTTTTTACACAACCAAGTCTTTTATTCAGCCGACGTTTCGGTGACCGTCTGTCATCTTCTTTAGGACAATTCTGATTGGTTCACATCGCACTGCAGCACAGGTGTCGCTGCTACAGATGTAATAGTCCCGCATTGTTGATACATTTCCCCGTAATCCTATCACGCATTTGTGTAGCTATGTAAAATATTGTACATTTGGGAATGCATCTATAGCAGCGACACCTGTGCTGCAATGCAATGTGAACCAGTCAGAATTGCCCTGAGGAAGGTGACAGACGGTCACCGATACGTCGGCTGAATAAAAGACTTGGTTGTGTAAAAAGAATCTCTTTATTTAGTGTCTTACCAACCTGATTAAATCTTTCACGGATATAGACAATCACGTTTTGACATCACAACTGACAAACACGTTAGTTTCATTGTGAACATTGCAGGAGTCATGGTGCTATTTTTATATTATGTAAATTTCGGTTAGGATGTTGATAACACAAAAATGTAGTGAAAGTACAGAATGATTGTGTAAAAGATTCCATTTGAGGTAATAGCAACTTGGCACTAGAATAATTAGGGAAGCGAAACGATACTTTATTTTAGGAGAGAATACCGGTTAAACACTGATTACTCAACAGTTATAAGTGATATGAACACGGTCAAAGTAACGTTTACTATAATAAGCAACAAAAGTATGGATTTTCACAGTATTTTGGTGTGATTTTTTTACAAGTTTCTGATTTTTCTTACGGATCTTTCTACGCATCTCTCCATTCATACCCACTAACACATTGTTGGGTGTATCTTTTTAAAGATAACTGAAAAAAAATCATTAAAAGAATAAGTAGGAACTGTTGTATTCAGAGGGAGCAGAGCAAATTTGTGTGCTTGTACCTTTATCAACTCAGTGAACTGAACATTTTGGACTTTTGTCTTCATTATAGTTTTATAAAGATTCTATGGAGGCAATTTTGATATCCGTAACCCAATACAGTTCTGTTTCTGAAACCTCCCTGATTTTGGGAAGTCCGTCGCTTATTCATTCGTTCCAAATAACACATTGGAAGTTTCACTACAATTTTTCAGTCTCACAACTATTTTTTATTTTATTTTTAAAGGCACTCAGTGATTTCAGGGCCGCTAGTGTTTTAACTTTCATTTTGTAATTTATTCTAATTTAATGTAATTATTTAATATTTTATTTTATTTTTATATGAAATATTATAGTAAGCTGAATCGAACCGATACCATATCATACTGATGTTGCTTCGTATCTTAAAATGGTTATGGCTATTTATTGGTGGTACTCAAAAATAAAGGACTCCTCATGTAGCCTGATTTTGGGCTTTTCAAACCCTTCAAGTATGAAATGCTGACGAAAATATGCTAAGATGGCAGTAAATTTCAATATCAGACATATTTCCTAATCCAGAAATAAATTTCCAGCCAAAAAATTGCACTGTATGCTTTAAAAACACAAAGGTTGTGCACTTTCATTTTCATTTTCTTTAAAAGTCCCGCCCACGGTGTCAAGTGGATGGTAGCTGACTGACATCACTTCCGGCGCACCCAAACGACTTCCGGTCCCAGGGGGAATACGTAATGTCAACATAACAGAAGAAGGGGAATCCCCTCGTACTTAAACGCCTACTTTGCCTAAAGCGATATCGATTACAATTTGTAGTGGGTATGGATTTTTACTTCTATTCAGTCACTTAACGTTTAAAATATAATTCAAAGGCAGACTACGTGAATTCCATGTAAATTCTATGTAAATTCAAAAACTTAAGGTAAACGAAGGTTTTGTACCAAAGTCTACTATGTAAATTCAAAAATTTTGGGTAATCTCAGAGAACAATATATTGGTCTGCATTGAATTTTGTTTCCTCGACTTTCGTCCAGACCATACTGTTTTTACTTATTAAAAATGAAGTATTCTAAGAATATTAACACTACATAATATACAAACACCATTATTGTTATTAGCAACTACGTAGTTAACATAAACTCGTAATTGATAGAAAGTTTTCCAATTAAACCTATGTTTAATTTTTTTCTCGAGTATAACTCATCTAATTACTATAATGATCGTTTTACTTTCCGACGTGGTGACAGGAAATAAGCGTTTCTTCCGGGCGATTTCCAGTTTTCTCATGTTACCTCCCTATTTACCTGTACAGCTATTTTTAGTACTTTACGCCTGATGTAACCATAACTGGTAATGAGGCCACAGCAAGTAATTTTTATGGATGACATCCGCGCGCGCAATAATTTTCGCCTGATTTTGGAAAAAAAACCCAAGAAATTTTGTTGCCCTCTGACCGTGGTCAACATGCCCAAAATGGGCAAAGATGTCTGTCGCCATGCCAGAAGGTGGATGGCTGATAACTATGAAGAGAGGAAACAAGAAAAGGCTCAGATTTAATGTTTTGTTTCTTACTTTGATGCAGTGATATGTGATGCTGGCTGTGTATATGTGATGTTTCTACTGAATCAAAACCATTTGTACAATGATTGAGTCAAATTTTTAAAATGTAAGAACCTTGTTTTTTATGGCCCACCTTGTTTTTTTTCGCCCGCTCGCATCAGATTTGGAGTCTGCAGAGGATGTCATCCATAACATTTACCTGCTGTGGCATGAGGAACGATAAGGACACACCGTCTTAATTTCATGGATGACATCCACGCGCGCATTGATTTTCGCCTGTTCTCAAAAAAAAAAAAAAGATCACGTACACCGGTGTTCTGGCCTGGCTCAAGGCCTGGGTTGTCCATGGTATACCGGTAGTTAGTGACAATACGGGGCCTGGCACTCAGGCTACCGAAGCTCCACGACTCAAGAACTCAGCACATATACGTACAGTGCGGATTCATAAATTCAACAAAAAGCCAGCATATGTGCCGGCTTGTCGTATACGTCGCTAAGTACTGCCGCAAATTCACAATACAGGCTTTCGGTATTCCTGTGGTTTAGTAGCATTTTTATTTTTGGCCGGATTTTTTTTTATTCGCCCGCGCGCACTAGTTTGGGGGTCTTTAGAGGATGTCATCCATAAAATTAAGTCGGTGTGGCCTAAATGGTAGCAACAATCTCAAGCTATAATGGCCGTTTTAACTCTCTGGTGTGAGTGTAGGGAGATAATATTTGCCTTCCTGTCTTCTGATAAGGGAGTACAAAGTCCTATACTCGTATATTGTACACATTATTGTAACGAGCGTTGTACACCCCGTAATATTATAAGACACATAGAAACTTGTGAGAGTGTACTCTCCAAAAAGGACTTTCAATGTAATAGGATACCATATTGTTAAAATTCCAGGGATAGTTGTTGCATACCTCATACTATAAGAACGACTCCACAGTAGCTATGAACACGGGATGTGAAAATTTTGGGAAAACCCCTAAAGACATTTTTTTTTTAATCTCTAGAGTTTCACTCTATCAAGTCAAGTCATCAATCGACACTGAGTTGCTATCCTTTTGTTAAGCATCCACATAAATACCGCGATTTTGAAAATCAAGTCAGACAACGATCGGCAACAAGCGAGAAAACAGCGAAGAAGACAGGAGAGAAGGCCGGCAACTTTACCACTACTTTACCGCTGACGACTTTACTCCGATACGGCATTCAGGCACTACGATCCAAACGTTCAAACAAGCAAGTAAGAGCTTTTTCAAATTGTTTAAAGTTTGCTTTATACTCATCGATTTTTTTTGGATCGAAATGTTTGAAATATTCTATAAATTCATTGCGCTTAAAACATATCTTGTGTATATCTTAAAAGTATATAGAGATATAGATGTAACGTACTTTGAAACGATTTCACACTACTTTTTTCAACATATATCTTATTTTTTGTCTGTATTGTTTTAACAGTAGGACAACATGATGAAAATGCTGGGATTCGCCGTAGTACTACTCCTGGGGCTACACGGGTGCACCTCAGGGCCCGTCCCGACAACCGTAGCCCCGCAGCAGACCCCTTTCGAGGCGCTCATGGACGCCAGAAACGTCGCCGCTAGACTGTACCAGAAGGCATCGGACGCCTACGAAACCTTTGTAAGAGCCTTTAATTCTTTCTACCATTTTGTTGTATCTATTAAGCCCTTTTAAACGCAATTAGAACTTTCCTTCGACCAACAAACGACCAAGGTTGGCTGAAGGTCGGGGACAGTCTGACCATGCTTACCTTTCTATTTGAATCGAATCGAATTTGTGTTAAAGTGGAGTCAAATTTGACCCCCGAACACGCCGCGAACACTACTGACCAGCCAACCCCATGTTCGGCTATGTCTGACAGGGGTTTCAAATGTCATCATTTGTTACAGTTACAAAAAGAGAGATTTGTCGCTTTCTCTGACTTGACTACTATTAATGTTTAACCTCAATGTTTCAAAGACGATTCTACTGTAAGTTATAACTGTCAAAATTTGTCAGCTAGCGATACCTTGTTCCTCCTCAGCTCTGCTTCCTCTTATGCGACACTTCAAGTCACCTGCTCATTTGTCAGTGAAACCTGCATCATTATGTCTAATTTTATTTTTAGAACGTGACTTACAGCTTAAAAACGCCTTCTTTGTAAACGTAATTTAGCTTAGGCCACAGCAAGTAATTTTATGGATGACATCAGCGCGCGCATTAATTTTTGCCTGGTTTTGTAAAATAAATTGCTGCCTTCTGACGGTGGTCACCATGCCGAAAATGGGCCAAGATGCCTGTCGCCATGCCAGAAGGTGAATGGCGGATAACTATGAAGACAGGAGACAAGAAAAGGCTTTGTTTCTTACTTTGATGCTGTGATATGTGATGCTGGCTGTATATATGTGATGTTCCCACTGAATAAAAACCATCTGTACAATGATTGAGTCAAAATTGTAGAATATAGGAACCTTGTTATTTTCGCCCGCTCGCATCAGATTTGGAATCTGCGGAGAATGTCATCCGTAGGATTTACTTGCTGTGGCCTTAGCCTATGTGTCAGTTACTTAACTTTGTTGACAGGCTATGACGTGATTTTGACGATACCACGGCGGGCATACATGCCAACCGAACCGTGTGGGGATTTGATTACACAGCGATGACGCAGGGCAACCACCGAGCCTTTTGTTATTCAAATGAGCTATGCGCACCTCAAGGACAAAAAACCTACCTTGCTTTCACTTACGAAGTGTACTAACTCTTTGTCCGTATACTACACTTGTTCTAGATACAGGAGGAATTCAGTGGTGACTCTGGCTACTGTGTGGCAGATATAACCTGGGACGAGCTGTTCAGTGTTCGAATCCCGACGCTAGAGTGGAGAAACTTGGGGGTAAGTACTACACTTAGCAAATGTAAATTCACTTCCGGGTTGGGGCATAGGTGTGTGAGTGGGTGCTATTTTTATCAACTGTACTGATTATACAAACGGATACGATTTCAGGGCACCGATTCTCCCATATATGGTAGTGCTGGGGTGTCGGTATTCTAGGATGTGTTCGAATGCCTTCCCGTAATTTACGTAATTCCGAGTAGGTTCTCAGAACATCGGACGAACTAGTCTGTACTTCATGAATTTTAAATATTGTGATATTTGCGAAGTCACCGGAAAAGACAGTAGGTGGCTTTAGGCGGTAGTGCTGGGGTGTCGGTATTCTAGGAGATGTTCGAATGCCTTCCCGACATTAACGTAATTCCGAGTAGGTTCTCAGAACATCGGACAAACTAGTCTGTACTTCATGAATTTTAAATATTGTGATATTTGCGAAGTCACCGGAAAAGACAGTAGGTGGCTTTAGGCGGTAGTGCTGGGGTGTCTGTATTCTAGGATATGTTCGAATGCCTTCCCGACATTTACGTATTCCTAGTAGGTTCCCAGAACATCGGACAAACTAGTCTATACTTCATGAATTTTAAATATTGTAATTTTTGCGAAGTCACCGGAAAAGACAGTAGGTGGCTTTAGGCGGCTCTTGAGTTCCAGACGATTTTCCAAGTGCTTTTTGTTAGTTCCGAAAGCTTTTAGTGAGATTTTGGGGAAATCCAATAGTTTCTTAAAGGAGTACTAACCTCCAGAAAGGGGTGCTATATTTCGACAGGCATTTATTTTTGGAAGTGAAAAATGCATATTATTTTACAGTATATAATTAAATGCCCATTTTGCGAGCAAGCCTTAAAACGCATCGAATCCAGGACAAACTCTCCAAATACCCTCAAAACTATCCCAGAATACACCACGCTACCCCATTAGTGCCTATGTTTTAAACAAAAAGTTACGTTACAGACCTCATTTCGGGGGCGATAAGAAAAATTCGTACCGTTTTGTGTTCTTTGGTATCTTACCAACCATTGCCCTTCTTGGTGTCCTTATCGCCCCTCATTTATGCCGCAAATATTGATGATGAAAAAAACGGCGTAATCTAGTTATCTTTTTCATAAGTGGCGTAATCTAATTATCTGTTCAAGTTATACTTACATGCAAATGAGTTGAGAAACTCAAAACACACAGGATGAAACTGGCGCCCACTGTATTCGACATCATGATATTATAATATCCAAGCCACAGGTCAAGCAAAGTAAAGCAAGTAATTTCTCAATAATCAGCTTGTTAGTGTGCTTGTCTCCTACCATTTTCGCCAAAAAATGTTTATGTTGACCTGAAGTGTATGAGTATTGCGTAAGCCAGAGTTCCCGGATGTATCAATTGTGGTTCAGCATGGGGGAAAATGATATTAATATCACTTTACAAACATGCGCCGCGCAACTTGTACAAGCGAAATTATGTAAAAAGTCGGCTAGTTATGTATTCATTGCAGCATGGTGTATCGGAAAATAGCACTTCGTTCTGGAGGTTAGTACTCCTTTAAAACGGGTATACATCGCGTTAATGTTTAAACATTTTAAGTTTTAAGTTATTTTATAAAAATCGAACGCTTGATAAATGTTTATTACTGTGACATTAGTACATTTATGCCGCATTTCTAATCTTTAGTTGTACGGGGTTTGGTGTAATATTGATTATTATAAACCCATCGACCCGACATTTGTGATGTGATTGACTTACGTATGAGCTAGGTTGTTCTACTCTTTGGTTTGTGAGTACTAGTATGTGTACACAGCACACAGAACAACTGTGATAACAAAATGCCCCTTTGCTAACAATGTGAAAGATGGCGGGCGGCCCTCTTTCCATATGTCAACATCCTGTGTTTGTGAAACAAGAACTTCTCTCTATTTTTACATCAAATGTAATTTCAGCCTAAAAGACTAGAACATTGATTTCAAAAATCCAGCTTTGCCGCTCTGAAATGGAATTGGATACCTTAAATGGTTTATGCTAGACTATAGAGTATCAGTCGGATATTATATCATTTCAGCATAAACTACTCAAAGCCACACACAATAGATTTCACACACATTACAGTCTTGACCTGCCATGTACTTGGACCACTTCTTGTGGGTGTAGTTCTTGTATTGCTTCTAGACCGCACTAAGTCTTATTTTATCAACACAATATACTATAACTATTTATTAGATATACATGTTTTTGAATAATGGTTAACCTTCTATATTGATGTATTTTTACTTGTTATTGACCATGTAAATTGTGATGTTGTATATGATGTTGTTTATGTATTTTTGGATGGGGGAGGGCAACTTGTAAAGGTGCGTATGCACCTGCTTTTCACTTTGTGAAAAATCAAAATAAACAAATAAACAAATAAAAGTTGCATCGTATAAGGATTATCATTTACATGTAACATTCGATGTCTGTTACCCATGTAGGATGAGGAGCGCCTCCAGCGGCTTCGCCGTGACCTGCAGTTGTTTGAACTGTTCTTGGACGAGGTTCTGTTAGACGAACAAGCCCAGGAGGGCCACACGGACACCGCTAACAAGGTGGAGGACACTATGAACGAACTGGACGGACTCATGACAGCCATCGCTGTAGCGGTAAGACACATTACGGCCTTCCTATTTAAGGTCATGTTGATTTGATTATATGGATGACATCCGGGAGCGCAGGAATTTTTGGCTGTTTCAAAAAAAAAAGTTTTCGACCATACTGTAAATCACAGAAAATAGTTGGAAAATGAGCAAATATATGCCATAGGTTAAAAAAAAGCGATACCAATGCCGTAGAATGCCAAAATCAAACAAAAAAGGACGAAAATGTAAAGAAATAAATTCGAAGACTAGATCATTCACCAAACCATACTCTTTGTCATTTGTTCAACCTTTATGACCACGTAGATTTCACAATGAAAGCATTTTTTTTGCCAAACTTTTTTTTCACACGCTCGCATCGGTTTTGGGGCTCCCAGAGAATGTTATTCATATAATCAAATCAACATGGCATAAAGTCGCTTTGAGAAACATTTTTATATACCACTAGTAATGCTACTCTAATATTGTAACTATGTAAGCGGTAAACGTTTTTACATCGTAAGACCAATGTAGTAAATTTGAAGCCTCTACCGGGCCTTCCTACAGGGGTACGGATCGTAGAATTCATTAAAAAATGGGCAAGACAGTCAGTCCGCGGGAGGTTAATTATTTCGTCCTACGGCGCGGTGGCTTAACTCCCCTGGACATTTTTTTCTTATCTCCAATTATTCTTATTTCTATTTGGCGAAATGCCAACTTTGTTTTTGTGTTGTAGACTTTGTCTGCGTCTGTATGTGTGTCTGTGGACTGCAGTCCTCGTATGTTCCTCCAGAGAAAGTAGTGCATTTCTTTAATGTTCTGTCAGATCTAGAAAGGAAGTTGAGATTAATGTTTAGTAAACAATACATCGACAAATGCTAATCGTTTTATAATGAAATACCTTTATTGTACATTCATGCCACGACGGGCTAGGTACAGGTCAAGATATGACAGACACATAACGGGAGACAAGAGATGCACTACTTGACTTAGACATACATACGTAAGGAACATACAAGGGTACTATATATTACTAGGCTAATACAAAGTGTTCTAGTCACTGAGCTACTATAGAGAGGTCAACTTCTCGCTTTTTTGTACAGTGAAAAATGTGGGAACAGATCATGTTTGTGATACAGGGTTTGTCTAGACGCATCAAAAATATAAATTTATCATTTGCACTTAGGTGTTCAAAGTATGGGAACATCTCTTTTATATTTACTCTGCTTGCAGAACCACGTCCTGGGATTCACCGAACCAACAGACGTTACCGAGATCATGTCGACTAGCCTGCGGGACCCAGGCACCGAGTCCGCCCGAGCCATCCGTGACTGCGTGGTGCTGAGGGACTTCAAGACTCTGGTCGAGAGGGGCCACAGAGACTTCACCCTACTGAGCCGCAAATACAGCTAAATACTTTAACTTTGTCCACGTGATCTTCACGTGACTATAGCTAAACATGTACGTAAAGGCCACGTGAACGACGCTAAACCCGCTCCAGTAGAAATCACGTGAAGGTCACGTGATCGCAACTAAACCTGCTTTAGTAGAGTAGAAATCACGTGAAGGCCACGTGACGATTGTTAGTCTACCTGTTCCACTAAAAACTTCACGTGAACGTCACGTGATCGTACCGTATGCTTTAAAAGCATCGAGACAAGTTGAAACATAAGAATCCTGTTTTTTAGGGTTGTAAGAAATGTCAGCTCCCATTGTGAGCAATTAGGTCATTACACAGTGCAAACTGAATGCTATGTAAAATCTAAGACTGATATTTAGTGATCCTAGCCTTGGTGCCATCCTATGTAGTTTACCTGGTCCCATTTGCTAGTTTCAACACAGAGATCAAGTATGACAACCTCGGTTAACTACATAGGGTGGCACTTAGGCTACCTTGATCTCAATAATTGGCATTATCGTTGTATTCTATCAATATATATCAACCAAATGGACGTCGGATTCAATATTAGGCCCTATTATTTATTAGAGAACGAAAAAATTAAACAAATTTGGGCTATATTTGAAAGTTTCCCTTAGATTGATAGTGTTGGTTATCAAGAACGTCATAACATATAGCTTAATGTTAGAATTAATTTTTAGGAGATACACACACGGAGTATATTTCACTACAAGGTAGTCATTCTTTTATATATTTGTTCGCTTTTATATACAGAGCTCATTATTTGGGCCTGTAGGTTAAGAAGACAAATCGTAGCCTTTTTGGGCAAACGCAAGTACTAGATTAGCAGTTATATTTCTTCATATATAGCAGTGACGCGACCTACCTGTTATGTATGGTATTGCAGATGACTTTCTCGTAGTGTGAAGACATATTTTACACTCATGTACATCTGATGAAATGTCATCAAAGTGAGAATAAAATTTATCAAGTGATCATGGTACAGTGGTATGGGCATATTCTTGTTGTTCATCCTTTGCAAAATCTAGAAGGCCTTTTTTAAAATAATTATTCCAACATGTAATCACAAGACGTGGTGACGGCACACTCAAGTTGTTTAAACTTATATTAATGCCACCATCCACACAGGGGTCAATACAATACTCATTTTCACTTGAGCGAGGTGAGGAAAGTCATGTTAAGTGCCTTTCCCAAGGGCACAAGATCGGTGACATGTCAGGACTCGAACCCGGGACCTCTTGATTCCCAGTCGAACACTCTGCCGCTACTCTACACGACTCCTTTATATACGAAACGAATTTGAGTTAAATTTGAGTCAAATTTGGCCCTAAACACACTCCGAAAACTCCTAAATTACTCCCAAATAGTCGGCTGGTGTTTTGAACTCCAATCAACCATGTCCGGACCTTCTACGTGGAATGAAGGTATAAGAAGGACAAGAAAAAGTCCACACTGAATTAATTTTCTGGATGACATCCGCGCGCGCATTGATTTTCGCCAGTTCTAAAAAAAAATCACATCCTCCTAGGCTCTGGCCTGGTTCTAGGCTGGTCCATGGTAGTTAACGACAATACGGAGCCAGTGGTAACTCTGGAGGACGGCACCCAGGCTGCCAACGCTCCACGACGGCAAGAACTCAGAACATTCACAGTGCCGATTCATACATTCCTCAAAAAGCCAACATGTGCCAGCTTATTGTATACGTCGCTATGTACTGTCGCAAATTCACAATACTTAATTGAGCTTTGTATTCCTGTACGTGGTTTAGAAGCATTTTTATTTTTGGCCGGATTTTTATTTTATTCGCCCGCGCGCACTAGTTTGGGGGTCTTTAGAGAATGTCATCCATAAAATTAAGTCGGTGTGGCCTAAGGCCATGTTGATTTGATTATATGGATGACATCCGCGCGCGCATCAATTTTCGGCCGTTTCCAAAAAAAAAAGTTTTCAACCATACTGTAAATCGTACAAAACAGTTGCAAAATGAGCAAAAATATACCATAAGTTACAAAAAAAATTAATAAAAACTATACCAATGTCGTAGAATGCCAAAATCAAACGAAAAAATACGAAATTGTAAAGAAATGAACTTTAAGACTAGATTATTCGCCAAACCATATTCTGTGCCATTTGCTCAACCCTCATGACCACGTAGATTTCATAATGAAAAGAACTTTTTTTTTTTCAAAACTTTTTTTTTATTCGCACGTGCGCATCAGTTTTGGGGCTCCCGGAGGATGTCATCCATATAATCAAATCAACATGGCCTAACTAGGAAAACACGGCCTGTGGTGTTCTCTGGGCCACGTATCGGGCGATATCCGCCCATCTCCCAGATGTCATGACATACGCACGAGTTTACGACTTGGCCGGGTACTATCGGGCACGAAGGAAGTCTTATATCGACATGTAAACGATATTTTCCCATCTTGTTTTGAGTGAGGCCTAACATTCCATTCAACAGGCATGTCAAATTCTTTCCGCTCAAAAGTCGTCTTTCTTAGAAAAGCGCCAGTCGCTCCATGTAAGTTCTGGGAAAGAATGTATGTTATTTCCGTTACACTTGTTCACGGGGAAGGGGGGGGGGCTGTACATTTGTTCAAGGGCAGCAAGGATAGAAAGGATCGCATTTCGTGGTACACTGAGAACACAGGATACTAGTATATCTTTCGCCCCTTTCGACGTTACACATTCACGAATTTAGCTTCCCGAACGCTAAATGAACGCCCGCCAAGTAATAGATAGAGTCATAGAGCACGGTTTGAGGCTGAATACTTGGGTATAGAACTGCCCCTCCCAACAAGGGCATTTCATGTCCCCGGAGCTCCGGAGGCTGAGGGTCTGTGATATGAAATCCCCGAACTTGGAGTCCCCGAAGTTGTACTCTCAATTTGATTCTGCCTTTGCAGCCACCAAAAGATCTGCTTGGAGATTACGGGAGACCATGTTCCGCTATGTGGGGGCCTGCATGGGGTGTCCCGATAACGCTCTACGCTAAAGTTTGATCGCCGGCTATACGTATTACGCTGAATTCAGGAAACCTCTCGATTACGCTTTACGTTAAATTCCAAGTGGCTGCAACGCAATACGTACAATTAAAACGGCGAATACGTTCTACGCAAAATGCTCCAATTACGCTCTACGTTGAACTGGAGCGATCCGTCTACGCTCTTACCAAGTCCTTGCTCTTATGTAGAATTAAAATGGCCGATTACGCTCTTACGGAAATGGGCATGCGGGTCCCCAAATGTGTGACTGTCACAGTGGCTTGACCGGGGCCTCAGTGTAGCAGGACAGAGGATACAAAAAGACGATGTAATGTTATGATGTGAGACGTAGTAAGTTAGAAGTGGGAAAACCCCGGTTCATTTGTACCAGTACTATTTCTACATTACGCTATGATACAGTGGGTGTGTAACCACTCCAGGATGTGGCTTGCTGCGCGCTTCCTTTAACAGAGGAAGAAACTTGGCAAAATCTTCCCAACCACAGAGGCTGTTACAAGATAGATGAGGAAGGGATTCCCCTTTTCTTAACCTAGTTAGAGGTTTCTATAAGGAAAAAAAACGTAATGAACAAGGGTCTGTATGCGTTTTTTCTCCCTTAGACATTGGCAGTTTTTTTTTTAATTCACTGTTAATAGTAGCTGGCCGCTAATAATAAACTTTGTCGGTACTCCCCATACCATATACATTTTGTATTAAGAACCGAACACCAGCCGATCAAGGTTGTCTAAATAAAATTTAGGAGCAGTTCGGCCAGATTTAGGTCACGCCTATCTTTCTATTCTTCTAGTCAATTCGAATCAAATTTGAGTTAACTTTGAGTCAAATTTGATTGCCAACCACACGCATCTTATCAAACAATTTCTTTTTACAAACATTGTTGCATGTTTTTTTACCTGGATACCTAAATATATGTGGTGTAAATAACAAATATCTGATGTCAGTGAACTGAGGTCAATGCACTCTGGTTGATTAGCTACATGTAAACAGGCTGTGGTGTTTAAAAAGCGGATCTTTCCGGGTTTCTTACGTCAAAGAAATGACTACGCAGAATTCAACCCATGCTGAATATGCCTTTGGAATGTGCCAAGTCATTCCTATCATACCCTGGACAAAGTAAGAGACAAGTGAGACAAGATATGACTGGACAAATTCGCAGTTGAATTTTCTTCATGACATGTATTTTACCAACTCAGGTGAACTTTCATGCTAGTATTAAATTCGCATATCGTGTGTTTAAACACCGTGAAATATACTGTCATTAAACATTCATGTATTAGTCTTTTTGTATCGTGAATATCCAGTTCCATCCGGATCCATCAAAATCCCATTTTTAAAGCTGCAGCCGTTCTAGTATAGTACACAACGCCAGCTTATTAAGTTTTGGGGGTAGTTGCTATCAAGTGCAACTGTTTATGAAAAGTTTCTATCCTTTATACACTCCATGTACAAGCACAATTACAAGATCCATTCTCTATACTTATATAATAGATAAGGTCTCAAGCTTTAGACATTTAGACAGAATGGAAAAATTTGAATTCCTTATGAAACTTAAGCTTGACAAACCATGTATCATTAGCTCAATATGTTCGTACATCTTTAACTGCGTCAAGAAGCGAGAAGAAGTTGAACGTGTAAATAGTAGATCACATTAGTATGTATAGTTTAAGTGTTATTGCTGTATTCTTTTTCCCTGTTTATTCATGACCTGTACTTAGCTTGTTAGAGCACAAACGTACAATAAAGGTCTTTCATTCATTTATTTTATCTAGCTTGTTACTAAATAGTTTCTGAGTGAATCATATACAGTAACGACTGCAAACTGGCCCGGAGGCTTGCGGCTGAGACCGCACAGATCACTTCCGGTTGGAACACTCTTGTACTTCCGGTGTAAAAAAAACAAGGCTAGGAATGACGCAATGGTGAGGGAAGCCCCCCTCGCTTGGCGCAGTTCCAATGTGCGCCGGCGCAGTCTAGAAAAGGGGCGTGGCTTGGCATTAGGGTTGGTTGTTTTTTTTTTTCGTAGGTTTGAGTTTTGAATTTATGGGATTCCATTACGTTTAGATAGCAGAGCAGAATATCACAGAAGCAAGAAATTCTTTATAAATAAGCGTGCCATCTCTGGCCAATTTTAGCATAAAGGTAGAGGTATAGTCCCGTAGCCTTTTTTAGGCCGTAGGGTCAGTGGATTGTTAATCCACTGTCTCTTGTGCAGGGTATTGAAATGCTGAACCCATCTCACTCCTTCCACCGTCTTTTACCTCCCTAACCGAAGTCAGGTACCCATGAAGTGAGGAAAGCAAATGTGAAGTGCCTTTCCCAAGGGCACAAGATACGTCAAAGGGTAGGATTAAAACACGGGACCTCTTGGTCCAGAGCCAAGCGCGCTACCGCTGAGCCACACGACCCCACACAATTTAGCATACTTTCGTTATAAAAAAAAAACTAAAAAAACTAAGTTTATAACTATCTCAAATCAATTGTCTTTCTTTTTTCATACTATCAAGGTATCTTCATCTAGTTTCAATACCCATTATTCGTGAAATATCCAATCCAATAAATTTAGCACAATTTTATCATTACTTTCGAACCTGCGTCATTTTCCCAACACCTGATACACCGCGAGAATATCCAAAATACGTACACTGTGCGCAATGTTACTGTTGATATACGGCTCTGTCGTTGTCTTTTTTTTTTTTGTTCCACTGAATGCTTGACACCTTTTCTTGGATCACCTGCGTCTATATTCAAAACCCAAAACAATGACAGCAGTCACCACATACCGGATACACATCAAGTGTTTTAAATAGGCACCGACGTTACAGTGCAGTGGTGGGCGTAGCAGTCCATATCTACCAGTCACGCCTAGCCTTGTTCAAACAAAGCTCTCAGGAGACAACATGACACTTTCACATGCCTTTTCAAATTCCAGAGGACTAAAAAAAGTATCCGAGAGACACGGGCTTCCGTGACAAGCACTGAGCTCGAAGTTATTACGTGTTGTGGTGTAAGATTTGATTACGGAATCAGTGACCGGAAAACCCCGTCCTGTCAATTGACGTAGTTGATCTTGGATCATTCGGAAGTGTTACTAAATTTAACTTGACCGATATACATAAAAAGGCCACGAAAAATGATCAAGGTCCAACAAACCAAACTATCATCAAGAAAGAAAGAAGACAGCGGTACAACTCTACAACATCGTCCGAACTCCAGAATTCTATCTCAGAACAACCTCTTACAACTTTCATGATGGATGCAGCGTTCTACAACTTTCTTCCTACTCTCTCAACAAGTAAGTCAATTCAATTTGTTTTTGACTATATTGGAAAGTTATGTCATGACATTTTTTTAAGTTAATTTCTAGACGAGCAGATTTGCTGGCGTAACGTTGCTATGCATATACTGCTCTGTTATTATTCATTTTATTTTAATGTGTGACCCGCTTTTTGCCTAAACTAATGTTTTAATATTGTTTTGACAGAATTATATGTGATGAAGACGGTGGCAGTGGTTCTCTTGCTGCTACACGGGACCACTGCGTCGCCCGTCCCGGCCGCAGTTCAAGCGCTGACGAACGCCCAAACCCAAACCCGGAGACTATATGAAAAAGTATCGACCGCCTTCGATGCATTTGTAAGTGTTATATGATCCTATTCCACTTCAAATTGAAACCATTTTTTCTAGCACCATCATTTCTCTTTTACACTCAAAATCTGTAAGGAAGTGATACTTTTACCTGTAACGTTTTGGTCACATGTTATAAGAATCGCCTGAAACAAATATGTAATGGTGCTAAGTAGATAATGACACGCGTAAAAATTCCGTTAACAGGTTTCGGAAGGCATACAAAGTACACAAGATTTTGAATTTCAACGAACCTTGGTCACGTGATTGAAGAAATACTGCGAAAGTCGTTTGGTGGCTTCTGATTGGTCAGCGATGACGTCGGTCAAATTGGCAAGGGTAAAACTCTGTGGTCTACGTACATAAGTGAAACATGGACTAAAAGTGACATTTATCCCTTTTTTTACAGATCCAGGAAGAATTCAACGGTGACTCTGTCTACTGTGCAGAACAAATCTTCATATTGGAAGAACTCGACAACATCAGAATGACCACAGCGGAGTGGAGACAACTAGAGGTATGTACACGTTCAACCACTAGCTTGGAAACACACACTCACTTCCGGGTTGCTGTGCAATTGAGCAAATCGAAAGTACTGTAAGCTGTTGACCCGGAAGTGACGTCAGTGGAAAGTTTTTTCTCCTTCCATATATGGTCATGCTGTGTATGGCTATCATCCAATCAACATCCGCCTTACTGTAAATATTGGCGTCGTTACGTCTGACTTCTTAGACCACAGGGTGAAGTAGATTTAACCAGAACCCCCGTCACACATATAGCCGAATATGGCCTCCGGAACACTGCTGAACTATCCCCAACCATGGTTAGGGGTAGGTCGGCTGTGGTTGGCTGGTGTTCGGCTGCACCAGCCTAATGCTTCAAAATGTTAAAACTTTAGGATGTGGACGGGAGGTTCAAATGGTTACCTTGTGGTTGGCTGTGTTTGGGAGTTGGTAGGGGCATGGTTGGCACTTAAATTTGACTCAAATTTAATTCATATTCAATTCGATTCGAGTAGAACGGTACTTAGCCTAACTTCAGCTAACCATGGGAAAGCTTCTGAATGTGTGGCAGGGTCTTTAACTGTAGTACGTAGTATCCCGTGAGAGCCCCCCTCCCCCAAATGAGGTAAGCTTCAGTCACAACACGCGTATCAAGGTCATTCAAGGTCACCAGGATTCAAACGTTAAGAATGAGGACGTTATGTAATCCGGATGTCTGAAACACGTAGCTAACAGTGTTAGATACTGTATACTACTCAGTGGTGACGCAGTGCTGGCATCCAATGCGATTGCAGGACCAAAAAAAAATGTATATATTCTGGATAGATAAGGAAGTCTGTCTGACATTTGCTGCCACCTTTTTGCCACCATGGCCAGTTTTAATAATACTTGAAGCGTATGCAAAAAAGCTTTGACATGCTACGTCAGAAGCCCCTTTACTTTTCGCACTACCAATACGAAACAAGCAACTGGTTTCCATCAGTGACATCGCATTTTTGCATCACAGATTTTTATAGGATACAAGATAGAGTTGATCCAACATACTACATTAGAAAAAACAAACAAACAGAGAATTGACTTTGAAAATCCAGTTACGTTGCCCTGAAATAACTTCGGGCGTCTTTTCAAACCATTTCTGCCTGTTCTAGTAGGTTTGCCATCTGTCCAAACCGGATAGTGTAGTACCTGGTACAACTTAGAACGGAAATACAATATCCTGCGTTTGCTTCCTTGAATTAAACTGACGTAATTCAGGAATTTTCCCCTCTTATCATTATTTGACGTCATCCCAATCCTATCTGGAGCATTTAACATTAACGTTTATACCCACGATGTAAAGAAACCAATGAATTCTATTTTTTATCCATCCAGGTTGAAGAGCGCCTCCAGCGACTTTACCATAACCTGCAGGTGTTCGGAATGTACCTCAAGAAGGTGAAGTCGGACGAGCCTGACGAGAACGGCCGCACACACAGGGCTGTGAACAGGGCAATAAAGCAACTGGACGGGCTTCTGACAGCTATAGACGTCACGGTGAGACACTTTAATCCCATTTCTACAACCGTTTTAGTGCAAATTTGTTTTGTTGCGCTGACCCCGAAAACGCTTCACTTTACGCTGTTAAAGAAATGCTAAACCATAGAAATGTTTGCAATTATTTGTAAATATTTTGAAAAGTAATTAAATCACATAACAATTTTAAATCTATTCTAGATAAAGAGATCTTCGTACAGCTCCTTTCAAAATGTATCAGAAAATGTCTAAAATTCAAATATGTTCAAATTTTCATTTTCATTTTATGAAAAATCGAAAAACTATTTTGACCCTCTTGGTGGCTTCGAATAATGTACTCTGAATGTACTTTTCTTAACCTTAGTATTATCATTATTTTTTCAGAACGATGTATTGGGATTTGGGTCTCCTGACGACGTTTCGAAGATCACCCTGCAGGACCCTCCCTCCGGGTACCACCGGTCTCTGCGTGACTGTGTGGTACTGAGGGACTTCAAGAACCTGCTGCCCGGTGTCGACAGCGACTTTAACATACTGCTATCCAAGTACCGCAGATAAATCCTCCAAATCTCGCGAGAATCCACGTGATGTCACGTGACTACATGACGTATGCTTCACAAGCATTAGAACATATCACTCTCATGCACCGATTTCACACTTCCCATAATGCCTAGTAAAGATCACGGATATGACGTAAGACCACCCCTCCCCCTTCCTCGATGTAATGGTTCCAACAAGTTCTATCGACAAACTGGTCAACTATCGTTTTGAATTATTTATCTAGTATAAAGCCATAATTGCATTTTTGTTGGAATTAGAGAAAATTACGGACCTTCTATCGTTCCACCTTCTACCGAAGAATCTCCTACTCGCACGTATATCCCCTTCTTACGTCATATCCCATCCATATCCATGATCTTTACTAGGCATTATGGGAAGTGTGAAATTGGTGAATTGACATGAATCCTATTTTAAAGGGTTCAGAGTATGTTGGCTCTTATTGCGAGCTATCAGTACTGTGCCAAAACATTTTACATAAATGTACTTAGATGTTTCTATTTAGCATCAAGAGGTGCTACATGTAGGATCTTTTTAAAGACAATAGCATCCTTGACAGCTGGTAAGATGAAGAAAAGTGTAGGATATGATATAGACACATAGAACAATGTGGAATTAAAAATTCTTCTTGCTAGATAGACTTATAGCTTAATGAACAATGTTGAAAATTATTTTCAAACGCTGCTATTTTTATCTGTCTATTTAATTATAGTGTTACGTTTTATACACCTCATAGTTTTACATAATACATGACATACTGTTTATTAACGATGTTGACGATATGTACTGTTACTCTTTTTGTTATGAAAATTGATGTTTTGAAAATACTGCTAAAATGTTACCATAATATTTATTGTAAGAATGTTATTATTTATTTATTTATTTATTTATTCATTTATTTATTGTGTTATCTAATACCTACCTCCCTATGTCACTATTGCACATGAAATGTGGTCGTGTATGGTTTATTTATGTAAGTGCCCCGTTACAATACGTAAATGTTTGTATATATTATTGTTAGTTATCTATTGACATGATGTAGAATATTTGTTTATTCATGGTACTGTTATTTATTTATTTATTAATAAATCTGTATAGCGTATCAACTCATATCCAAAAACTATTGTGGATTTTAGAGATGACAAATAAAGACATTAAGACATGGAAAAATCTACTATTGCATCTATTTATTCTATTCTATTCTGATAGTCAAGTCAATCTTTATTGCACAACAATTGTAACGGCTACAATGCATGGCAAACTCTTCAGTACTACATATCTAGCTAGCTACTCTTACGTCTACAGTGATACCTACAAGTTCTATGTATCGAAAATAACATTATACTATTTCAAAAAGGTAATATAGTACATGTTTATGTATGGAACATGGCTTATTACATGATAACGTACTTGAGTTCTATACATGACTGTATAAACTAGATTGTAGCGATAGCAAACTGGCATTTCCATCCAGATTTCTCGCTAGTTTAACATCATAAGAAAACGTTTTCTGCCACACACAAAATGACGCGATCGTCGTAGGTAGACATTGGGTCATGCGTGGTAGGAAATAGGTGTTCTAAAATTCAGGTTCCCACGTGGAAATCGGTTCCCCCAGCCATTCACCAATTTCACACTTCCCATCATGCCTAGTAAAGATCACGGATATGACGTAAGACCATCACTCCCCCTTAGTTCTACTAAGTTCTATCGACAAACTGGTCAACTATCGTTTTGAATATATATATTCTACATGTTACTACCTGTAACGTTACATTGACGTTTTTTAGGCAGTGGAAACATTCGGAAACCAAGAACATTATACGATCGTCCTTGATTTGAATATACAAGTATGAAAAGGATTATAAGAAGGGACGGGCCGTTTGAATTCTTTACCTGACCACTATGGACGGTAGCCTTTACTACGTCTTTCCTACTGGAATATGAATCGTAGCATTTGTCAGGCGAGTCAGTCCGTGGAAGGTTGGTTCTTTCCCTCCGAATTTGAAGCTGATTAGACAGGCTGAAATATGCATGGCTTCTACGGAAATTGCACATGATTAAACTTTGAAAAAGGGTGCTAAATAGGATGTTAAAATCTAAACTCACCCATGAGCCGTTTTAACTAAAAAAAACCCTCCATGTAGTAACAAATTAACAAGTTCAATAATGGGGGAACAAATTTCCACGTACAGGGATGATATTTAGCCCCCCTCCCCCCCTCATAAATCGGTCCGTATCTTCTCATAATCCTTATTAGTCAGGCTTGTATGTTCCAATCTAAACACACCCACGGACCATTGTTGTAAGTAAAAGATTGTTTTCACCGAAAATAACGTCCATGTAGAATTTACAAGTTTTCTAAGGGATGATATTTGGGCCCCCTCATAAATCGGTCCGTCTCTTTTAATAATCCTTATCAGAAAATTCCAATTTAACTTACCAATGGAACATTCTTGTAAGTATAAGAGCGTTTTCATAAAAAAATTACGTCCATGTAGTAACAATTTACAAGTTCAATGATGGGGGAACAAATTCCAGGCGGAAGTCGTGATGTTTGGCTGATCACACCTTTCCACATACTGTACAGTACATGTACTAGTATTATGTGGCGTCGATGGCGCAACAGTTAGAGCGTTGGGCTCGGAACCGAGAGGTCACCGTGGCCCGACGTTGTGCCCTTGGGAAATGCACTTTATGTCCTACCTGGGCCGCGATTATTTTCGATACGGGTGTTCCGGCCCGTGTGATAACTTGCGGTACGGCCCGGGGGTTCTTAACGCGTACGGCCCGGGGTTCCAAATGTTCCATAGAACGATTCGAACGCGTTTCGCCCTAACCGCTTGCACCGCTTTCGAAAATTAGAACACAAAATTCGGACGTTGCAATTGATGTTGTTGCATTGTTTGGGTTTAGGGACACCAAATGTTCGCCTATTTCGCATTAAAAGGCGTGTTTTCTTGGGTGGGCATGACATAAATAAAATACTACACGGTGTATTCCGCATCACCCTCGGTCCCAGCCCTCCCGCGGATCGGATCACCCTCTGGCCTTCGGCCGTCGGGCGATCCGGCGCGCGGTCGGGCTGGGACCTCGGGCGATACGGAATACCCCGTGTTGTATTCTAAATTTACACGACTTCCCCACCTATACGGTGGAGTGACGCCCACCGAGCCTCTTAGGCTAACCTGTCTAATGTCTCAACATCTGCACATTGGCTTCTGAGAACCGTAACTTTTTTTTTTCTCATAGTATTCCCTTTTTTGTATGTTCCAAGGAAAAACTTGTATACATGTATACATGATTAAGCTAGCACAAGCGGTATAATCTTTAGTCTACTATTTCTGTTTATTTCATGAAATAAATCCTTTTTACAAACGTTGTTGCGTGTTTTATACTTAAAAATTAATGTATGAGGTGAAAACAACAAATTAATCTGAGGTCAATGAACTGAGGTCAATGCACTCTGGTTGCTACATGTATTTGTAATTAGGCTAAGATGTTTAAAATGCGGATGTTTTTTTTTTTTTTTTTGTACAAAGAATCTTTCCGGGTTTCCTACGTCAAAGAAATGACTACGCAGAATTCAACTCCTGTGGAATATGCCTTTGGAATGTGCCAAGTCATTCCTAGACCCTGGACAAAGTAAGAGACAAGTGAGAAAAGACATGAGTGGACCTTCCTTTTACGTAAAAGACAAACTCTCATATCGTGTGTTTAAACACCGTGAAATACTGTCAGGAAACATTCATGTATTAGTCTTTTTGTATCGTGAATATCCAGTTAAGTGTCATCCGGAAGTAAACCCTTTCAAATCCCATTTTCTTAGCCACATCCGTTGCTAGTATGGCACAACACAGTATTAGCCCTATGGGGATTTCTATAGTTAAGGACCCCAAAGTGACTCACTTCGAATCACTGAAAATCATAGTAGGGTGCACAATCAAGGTTCAGATTTTTTATATGTTTAATTTCAGGGTATAGTGTACAAAATATGTGAGAATGAGCTTAGATTTGCCGGCTAGTTCTTTTCTCATGCCCTCCTTTATTAGCGCCACTGCGGAGGTCACGGAACTGCAGCCGAGGCACAGTACTAGGCGGGACAAGTATCCAAGCGCAAATCTACGCCGACTGAACACGCACCATAATTCAACTTTTACAGTCTCAAAACTGACGTATTCCTCTAACATTTACCACAGGTTCTATCTCGATGCCATGCACAAAACAATCTCTGCACTCTTCTCTAGTATTGTGCCCGGACTTCTACGGGGTTCGCCTATAAATACTGTGTTGTGCGGCCTTACAATGCCGGCTACTACAGTAGTTTGGGGGAAAGTTGCCATCAAAATGAATAGCGGCAATAGTTTACGAAAGGTTTCTATCGTTACACACTTAAAGCTTTATACAAGCAGAATGGTAAGTTTTCTAGTGTACATGAGTGAAAAATTCAACCGTGATCCATTTTATCTAAGCTTGTTATCTTAGATAACTTCCTAGGACCTATCCGGGTAATTGGTTGAATGAATCACATACAGTAACGACTGCAAAGTGGCCCGGAGGCTTGCGGCTAGAGGCACAGATCACTTCCGGTCGAAATGCTCAATGTACTTCCGGTGTTAAAAGGGCTAAGGGGATGACGTAATGGTGAGGGAAGCCCCTCTCGTCTGGCGCAGTTCCAATGTCCGCCGGCGCAGTGTAGTAAAGGGGCGTGGCTTGGCCTCAGGGGGTTCTCGTATCGTAAACTAGAGTGGGGTCGTGTGGCGTAGCGGCTGCCAGCGCTTGGCTCGGAACCAAGAGGTCACGGGTTCGAGTCCTGACATGTCGCCGATCTTGTGTCCTTGCGAAAGGCACTTTACACATTGTCAACTTTCCTCACTTAATTCAGTTGGAAATGAGTATTGTCTTGTCCTGTTTTCGTCCTATGTTTTGGTAGCGAAATAAGATATTGATATAACTTGAGTGTGCTGTCACCATGTCTAGTCATGAAATGTTGGATGAATAAAAAACTGGAGTTTAAAATGTACGTGATTCTTTACGTTAGCAGAAGAAATAGAGCATCACAGAAGCAAGAAATCCTTTAGAAATAAGCAAATTTAAGAATAGTTTCACTACAAAAAGTCTACAACTATCTTAAATCTGTTTCCTTCCTTCTTTTAAACCTTTCAAAATATATTTATCTACTTCAGTACTCGTAAAATACCTCAAACAAAAAAGCACGACATAATTTTTTCATGACTTTCGAACCTGCGTCATTTTCCCAACACCTGATACACCGCGAGAATATACAAAATACACAGTCCGCAACGTTACTTGGAAACACGACTCTGTTATTATTTGTTTCTCCTAATGTTCGACACCTTTTTTTAGATCACCTGTGTCTATTTTAAAACCCAAAACAATAAGAGCAGTCACATGCCGGATACCGACATCAAGTGTTTTAAATAGGCGCCCACGTTACAGTGCAATGGTGGGCGTAGTGGTCCGTATATACTAGTCACACCTAGCCTTGTTCAAACAAAGCTCTCTCAAAATAGTAAAGGTGACAACATCACACTTTCACATTCCTTTTCAAATTCCAGAGGACTGAAAAAAGTATCCAGGGGATACTGGCTTCCGTGACAAGCACTGAGCTCGTAGTGATGACTTTAAATAGTGATTAACACCACATGTCACTAGTACCACCACCCCCAAATGATAATAAGTTACGTGTCGTGGTGGAAGATTTCATCAAGGAAATACCGGAAAACCCCGTCCGGTCATTTGACGTACGTAGTTGCGCTTGGATAATTCGGAAGTGTTACTAAATTTAACTCGACCGATCTGCATAAAAAGGCCGCGCAAAATGATCAAGGTCCAACAAACCAAACTATCATCAAGAAAGAAAGAAGACATCGGTACAACTCTACAACATCGTCCGAACTCCAGAATTCTATCTCAGAACAACTTCTAACAACTTTAATGATGGGTGCAGCGTTCTACAACTTTCTTTCTACTCTCTCAACAAGTAAGTCAATTTGTTTTCAACTATATTGGAAAGTTATGTCATGAAATTTTTATATCTAATTCCTCGACGAGCTGATAGCACAGATTTGTTTTCAAACTGTTGCTAAGGATATACACGTAATTTACATTTTTGATGTGTGACGCTGAACTAATGATTTAATATTGTGTTTTTACAGAATTATATGTGATGAAGACAGTGGCGGTGTTTCTCCTGCTGCTACACGGGACCAGTGCCGGGCCCGTCCCGACCGTTTCGGACTCGCAGGCCGCGGTTGAAGCGCTGACGAACGCCCGAGCTCTAACCCTGAGACTACACGGGAAAGCTGAGACCGCCTACGACGCATTCGTAAGTGTTATCATTCTATTCCACTTGTGATATCAAATTGAGTCCTTTTTCTATTATTTTAATTTTGAGTTTAAAAGAGAGATGAATGTGTTAAACACTTTCATCTCTCTTTTAAACTCAAAATTTGTATGGTAGCGATACTTTTGCCTGTAACGTTTTGGTCACATGAAGCGCATCAAACAAATGAGTAACGATGCTTAATAGATAGTAACACGAGTGAAAAGTCCCTTAAACGAGTTTCGGAAGTCGTACAAGAAGTCAGTAAATGAAATTTTGAATTTTGACGAACCTTGGTCACGTGATTGAAACGACACACGAAAGTCGTTTGGTGGCTTCTGATTGGTCAGTGATGACGTCGTGGAACTGGGCAAGGGTAGAAGTCTGTGACCTACGTACATGCATACAGCACAGGGCACATACGTGAAACATGGACTAAAAGTGTGGTCTATACCTTTTTTACAGATCCAGGAAGAATTCAGCGGTGACTCTGGCTACTGTGCGGAACAAATCATATGGGAAGAACTCATCAACACCAGAATGACTACAATGGAGTGGAGACAACTGGGGGTATGTACGCGTTTTTAACTAGCTTGGAAACACACACTCACTTCCGGGTTGCTGTGCAATTGAGCAATTCGATAGTACGTTCGGACGTTGACCCCATGTGACGTCAGTGGAAAGTGCTTTTCTTCCATATATGGTCATGCTGTGTATAGTCTGTCGTCTAGGCAACGCCCGCCTTACTGCAAATAGTAGCGTACTCTATTATTTGTGACTTCTTGGAACACCGGGCACATAGCCGAATAGCATTAGCCTCCACCAGGCCTTTCTACGGGAATACGGATCGTACAATTCGGCAAAGAAGGGAATAAAATTGGCCAACTTCGAAGTCCGGCCGCGGGGAGGTACTAGTAGTTTCTTTCCCTCCGGCCAGTCAAACCTACAAGGCAGCCAAATCCTCCTATATATATCCAGCGTAGTCAGTCTGGTAGAGACTAGAATAACGTGGTCTCCCAAGGACATTACACAATGTCTTTGGGCCTCCCCCTCCCCCTCCCCCAGATGAGGTAAACATTCGTCACAAACCACGTACCAAGGCCATCCAAGGTCACCAGGGTTCAAACGTTTAGGGCGAGGACTTAACGTGATCCAGATGTCTGAAGCGTGTAGCTAACAGTTGTAGATACTGAATAGTAGTAACATAGAAGAACTTTATGGCACGACAATTGTACATTAACATATGAGGGCCTGCATGGGGGGTGGGGGGTGGTTAGTGATTACGAATTACGCAAAATTTTCGCCACCGATTACGAATTACGTTAAAGTCTCAGAGCTGATTACGACTTTACGATTTGCGCTTAATGACTACGAATTAGGTTGATTTTTGGGGAGGCTGCCTACGAATTACGAAGTCTAAAAAGGTCTGATTACGCCTCACATATGCTCAGTGGTAGCGCATGTTGTGTTTGCTGGTTGTGTATTTAAAAGCGATTTCTGGACAAAAAAAAAATTAAAACAAACAGAAATATTTCGGATTGATATTGACGTTTATTGCCACTTTAACACATTTTTGCCACCATTTAATACTTGAAGCGTCTGCAAAAAGCAGTGACACGCTACGCGGGTAGTCCCTTCATTTTTGGTACCACCGACAAATATCTAAACTATCATACCATACAACACAAGCAACCGTCTTCCATAAATGACATTGCATTTTTGCAGAAACAGATTTGTAATACGGGATACTATGACTAGTATGAGTTGATTCAACATAATACATTCAAAAAAGAAATACTAACAGCAAAAGAAAATTGAGTTTTAAAATGAAAGTTAACTGCCCTGAAGTAACTTTTAGGTGTCAATTTCCGACTAGTTTGCCATCTGTTCAAACCGGATAGGGCAGTACCTGGTACAACTTGGAACGGAAATACAATATCCTGCATTTGCTTCCTTGTATTAAAATGACGTAATTCGGGAATTCCCCTCTTATTTCCCTTGTTGGGTGGGAAAAAATTAATGACGATCCCTATCTGTAGCCATGGCAACGTTTACACCGACGATGTCAAGAAATCAATGACTGAATTTTCTTTTCCTCCCATCCAGGATGAAGAGCGCCTCCAGCGACTTCGTCGTGACCTGCAGGTGTTCGGACTGTACCTTGAGGAGGTGAGGTTGGACGAGCTTGATAAGGACGGCCACACAGACACGGCTGAGGCGGTGGGAGATGCGATAGACCAGCTGAACGGGCTCATGACAAGTATAGCTATCACGGTAAGACACTTTAACCATATTTTTGGGTTCCAAAACGTTTCACTTTACGGCATTTAAAGGCATCCAGTGCAGTTTTTAGGGCTAGGAAACCCAATTTTTCAAAGTCAATATTCTAGTCATTTATCTACATTGTGAGTCAAAATCACAGTCCCAGTGTATATTGACACTCGTGGAGAAAAAATTCTGACGGAAAATGGTTACTAGGAGGGCCCTTGGCTGATTTTTTGGTACCACCAAAAAAATAAAGGACTCATCTTGTGGCTTGTTTCTGCAGTTTTAAATGCCCAAAGTATGAAATGCTGACTCAAATGTGCTGATGTGAAGCAGTATGTGTCAATGTCACAAAATTGCGTTATTCAGAATATTTCCAGTTTTGCTGCTCTAAAATCGCATTGGATGCCTTTAAGAGCATGCTTTAAACCATCATAGAAATTATGCAAATATGTGTGTATGCAAAAATTCTTCGAAATGTGGACAAATCACATTTTAAGCATTTGAAATCTATTCTAGATAAAGAGACTTTTGTATAGACTATTTCAAAATGTTTCAGATACATCTAAATGAATGTATTCTATATTACATTTATCTATCCATCTGTATTGTGAATATGTTTAACTTTTCATTTTATAAAGATTATTGTGCCTAAGGTATCCTTTTGGAAAACCTTTATGTTGGCTTGAAATGGACTCTTTTCTCAATCTTATAATCTTTTTTTTTTTTTTCAGAACAATGTATTGGGATTTAGGTCTCCCGCCGACGTTCCAGAGATCACCACACTACGAGACCCTCCCAGCGAGTACGCCCGGTCCATCCGGGACTGTGTGGTACTGAGAGACTTCAAGAACCTGGTCTACAGAGTCCACAGGGACTTCACCGTCCTGCTGTCCAAGTACCGCAGCTAAGTCCTCCAAATCTCGCGAGAATCCACGTGATGTCACGTGACTACATGACGTATGCTTCACAAGCATTAGAACATATCTCTCTCATTGACATGAATCCTGTTTTAAAGGGTTCAGAGTATGTTGGCTCTTATTGCGAGCTCTTCTTATTATAACCATATATTATATTTAAACTGTGCCAAAACCTGTAACTACTGACTGAATTCTGATAGATAGATATGTACTGTCACGACTCAAAGATTTAGGTGTTCCAACTTAGGTGCTGCATTTAGTAGCTTTGACAATTATGACTTGAAATTGACTTGAATATTTTGTTTAGTTGATTGTGAATAGTTTACACACAATAGTATCCTTGATGCAAGGTGAAAAAAGTGTATAAGTTATATAAAAGCATAGAACAACGTAGAATTTAAGTTATTGTTGCTGTTTAGAAACCTAGTGGATAGACTTAGATTAATGGAAAATGTAGGAAATTTTAGTCATATGCTGCTCTTTTTATCTATTATTTATTTATTGTTATAGTGTTACAGTTCATACACCTCATAGATTTACATGTGTAATATTTATTAACGATATGTTAGTCTGTATGAAAATTGATGTTTATGAAAAGGCTGCTAAAATTTTACCATGTTATTTATTGTAAAAAAGGGGTGTTATTTATTTATTATTATTTAAACGTTAGAAGCGACGACTACCTCCCTATGTCGGTATTGCAAATGAAATGTGGCTGTGTGGTTTATTCATGCAAGGTACCACGTTGCAAAACGTAAATGTAAAATTTGCAATTGTTTATATTATTGTTAGTTATTTATTGACAAGGTGCGGGCTACTTATTTATTATTGGTACTGTAGTACCATGTTAAAGTAGATATTTATGAAATGATTTATTTATTTATGTATGTATGTATTTATTTATTTATTTATAAAGATGTGTAGCATATCCACTGTTGGCTAACATCTACAAGAACTGTTGTGGATTTATGAAAAATAAAGACATGGAAAAATATACACCTGTATCTATTTATTAGCTTTCATTCTGATAGCGGTCGAAAGCGATGGCAAACTGGCAATCAAGATTTCTAACTATTTTAACACTATAAGGCCACAGCAATTAAATTTTCTGGATGACATCCTCCGGAGACCCCAAATCTAATGCAAGCGGTAAAAAAAAACAGGGCGGGCCGACAAAGCAAGGTTTCTACATGTTAAAATTTTGACTCAATCATTGTACAAATGGTTTTGATTCAGTGGGAAAATCACATATACACAGCCAGCATCACATATCACTGCATCAAAGTAAGAAACAAAACATTAAACCAGAGCCTTTGCTTGTCTCCTCTTTTCATATTTATCTGCTATCCACTTTCCGGCATGACAACAGACATCTTTGCCAATTTTTGGTATGTTGACCACTGCCAGAAGGCAACAAGATTTTTTTTTCCTAAATCAGGCGAAAATGAATGCGCGCGCTGATGTCATCCATAAAAATTCCTTGCTGTGGCCTACGGAAAGATAACGTTTTCCACCACACGCATTAAAAAATAACGCGATCGTCATATGTAGACATTGGGCCATGCGTGGTAGCAGGAGTTACGGCGATATCAAGCCGGTTCAAGCTGGATAAGTGTACATGTACACCACTGTCAGGACATGACAGGTCACCATCATTGTGTCGATCCCGGTCCCGGATTCTATTGTCTGATTATTCAGATTCAGATTCAGATTGGCTTTATTGATGTCGCAGTGGAGTACACTGAATTAAGATCAATATTACATAAAAGTACAATATAATGGTTGGCGATATAGGGTTAAAAGGTAGTGCAATAGCACAATAGACAGTATACGTAAGAGAATATTCGCTCATTGATAATACATTAAAAATAAGCTACAGATTAAAAGTCATGCTGGTTCAACAATCGAGTCAGGTAGGGTATTGGTGAGTTTCTGTATCTCTGTGTTTTAGCCTTTGGAATATCAAGTTTTTGAGCATTTCTGGTACTTCTGCCTGTGATACTAGATCTGCGACTCGGCAACAAATGCTCGAACTCAGACTTGATAAGTGATCTGGCAAAGTTCAGGCACAGAGTCTCACGCCTTTCGGCAAGCGTTGTGAGTTTCAAATGTTCGAGTGAGCTTGCATATCCGGTATAGGCAGGACCCATGATGATCCGACAGGCTCTTCGCTGTATCCGCTCCAGCTGATCAACTTGCTGTTTAGATAGTCCCGGGGACCAGACGGGAGCAGCGTACTCCATAAGTGGACGGATGTATGCAGTGTAGATGATTAGGAGTTCAGTTTGTGAGAGATTAAACTTCCTGAGACGCTTGAGAATAAACAGTTTCCTGGCAGCGTTTGCAGACATATGATTGACCTGTTCGTTCCAACGTAGATCACTCTGAACGCGAAGGCCGAGTATCTTCAGGCAGGGGACAACAGACAGAACTGTGGAGTCAATCCGCAGTGGGGGGTAACAGTGGTGGGTTTCTGCAGAATGTAATGTGCATTGCTATGCACTTGCTACTGTTCAAGAGCATGTTTTTGTCCATTGTCCAGGAATGTAGTTGGTCAAGGTCGTTTTGGAGACAGGACGGCAGATGGATGGATCTTGTTTCAAGAAAGTTCATGTCGTCTACGTATTTCAGGGCATAACTGACGGCATCACTAGCGGCATCGTCGATCAAAACGAGGAAGAGTATAGGTCCCAGTAAAGTGCCTTGGGCAACTCCGCAAGAGAGGGTTACCCAGTCGGAAAGGGCTCCTCTATACCGTACTCTCTGTTTTCTCGCAGAAATGAAGTCGCACACCCACGGAACGAGCTCGGGCCTCAGACCCTTGTTGAGCAGCTTAGTGATCACTGTATTATGGTCCACTCTGTCAAAAGCCTTAGTAAAATCAGTGGCTACAATGGTGCTGATGGTTGATGGTGTGTCGGCTCCAAGGGATAGTCTGTCCACCAGGCTTAAGAGGGCGTGAACCGTGGAGCGGCCCTTTAAGCTGCCGAACTGCCGTTGGTCTAGCTTAATGTCGTCTGTAATCCACTTAGAGGCAAAGAATTCCGCAATCTTAGCAAACTGGGGGGTCAATGATATGGGCCTCAACTTGTCCAGTGTAGCAGGTTGGGATTTTGGAACAGGCACAACCACGGCTTGCTTCCACTGGTGAGGGACCACGCCAGTTGCAAATGACGCATTGAGGATGTGGCAGAGGGGAGAAGTCAGCTCACAGGCAAACTCTTTAATCAGTTTCGGTGGGATGTTATCAGGGCCTGAGGCTTTGTTTGGCTTTACTGCTCGAAGACGCTGGTAGACATCCAAGTCAAGTAACGTTGGCAGCTGTTCAGGGGAGGGGAGGAAGGATCGTGGAGTATGCCTGTTGTGTATGGGACCCCTACACCGACGCTGACACAAATAAGATCGAGAAAATCCAACGAAGGGCAGCACGCTTCGTTCTGAACAGACACCGAAACACCTCTAGTGTCTCTGACATGTTGGATGAGTTACAGTGGGCTTCTCTCCATGGCCGCCGCCGTACCACCAGACTCGCCATGATGTACAAGATCCAGCATGACCTTGCATGTGTGAGATGCGACGCCTTGAAGCCCGTGTCTGGCAGCAGGAGAAGCCGGAGAGGCCACAGTCAACAGCTCCAGGACATAACTTGCCGCACGAACTACAAACACTATTTCTTTCTTCCTCGCACTATCCGCGATTGGAACGCCCTGCCCACAGACACTGTCCAATCCCCGTCTTTGGCCACCTTTGTCTCGAGGGTGTCCAGTCCGGCCTAGACTCAGTCACGCTGGTGACCTTCGACCCGAGACATGTCAATTATTGCCGGTATCGGCAGTTGGACATTACCGGAAGAAGAAGAAGAAGAAGAAGGTAACAAGGAGGTGTTCAGCTCGGGTAGGGCATTAGACACCTCGGCGAAGCTTGAGTTGATGATATTTGCGGTGGCGAGGTCATCATCAGCTGGAATGCCAGGAATTGTAATCGTACTGTTGGGTTTCTTCATGTTAGCCATCTTCATGACTTCCTGGTGCCAGCGTTTTGGATTTGCGGATTGCAGCTTGCTAACTCTATCTGCATGGTATGTCTTTTTAGCTTTAGCCAACGCTCTTTGTGTCAAGTTCCTGTAGAATCTAAAAGCCAGTGGGGTTTGATTGTGGAATGCCCTTTGCCTCAAGGCGATCAGCTGCTTAATGTGAGGAGTAATCCACGGTTTATCGGTGTTGTGGATTTTAACGGTCCTGGCTGGGAAAAAGGTGTCAATAGCAGTTTGAAGTGTCTCGTGGAAAGCATCCGCCTTGGCAATCACGCCCACAGCTTCATACACTTCGAGCCAGTTGTGAGAAGTGATCCATCTTCCGAATTCATGCATTTCTGTTTCACCAGTACGCCGGAAATTCTTCTTCACGGGTTTGGTGGCTGGGGATTTCATTGCAGGGGACCAGAGGACTGTCGAATGATCACTGACTCCCACAGGGGGAAGAATGGTAGGGCGCTGATACTTGTCCTTCATGTTTGTTATGATCTGATCCAGTATCGCGTTTCCCCTAGTGTTGTTTTTGACAACCTGTGACAGTAGTCCGCCCCTACAGAGATCTGAGATGTCCACTCTGTTGAAGTCGCCGAGTAGGGCCAGGCCTATCTCGGGGTGTTTAGATCTCAGGTCGTCGCACACTGTTACGAGGTGGTTGATCAACTGATCACGGTAAGGCGAGTTGGGAGGAGAGTATATGCCGCATATGACTATCGCTGTCAATGATCTGGGAAGTCTATGAGGTCTAGTCCAAACCCAGACTGCTTCAAGGTGTTCAGGTACTTCATATTCAGTCAACTGTCGTGATGGTATCCGATCCTTGACATAGACTGCCACTCCACCCCCTCTTCTGTCTGGTCTGTGTTTGGAGTACAGGTTATAGCCATCCAATTCAATAGCAGATGCTGGAAGGGAGTTAGAGAACCAGGTTTCGGAAACGACGCCGATATCAACAGAGTGGTGAAGTAACGTGGTATGAAACTCATCGAGTTTATTGATTAGAGATCGTGGGTTGCATAGCATCATTTGAGGGACACAAACATTGCTGTTGACTGAGCGAGTACCCTGATTGTGCTGCAATTGGATCAGACGGAGTGTTCTCGGCCTTTCGGTAATGTTCCGGTACGCAACACTGTTTTCCATAACACATGTGGATTTGCATATCACAGGAGTAGCTTGCGATGAAGACGCTGGCCTATTGTTCACTACAGTTTCAATGTGGCGAATAACATTTTTACCTGCTTTACAGCCTCTTGGTCTGCCGGATCTCTTGAGCAATCCAAGCTTCTTTAACAAGGACTTTTCCTGTGGTTGGAGAGCGTTGACAGCAGCGCGACAGGCGCGTATAAATCCCTGGGTGTAACTCAGTACCGACGCCATGGCCGCACACTCAGACACAGTAGGTTGTAGGCAAAAGGTTCTTGTAAGAAAGCCGCAATTCGCCAAGATGTACGGACAAGGAGGTTTTCAGGAAGCTCAGCGACATGTAAGACTCGCATAAATCCAGCAATGACGACTTACTACACACTTATAGGGCAAAAACTTCACATGATCGGGACAAGTGTAAAAACCGTGGCCGCCTCTAAAAGCGCCACCTACCTTAATTTCCAACATAAGAAATTGGAAGAAATTACAGGTTGATTGGCTGAAGGAAAACAGATTTTGTGAAAATTTACCTTACCAGATAAACCTTCGGATCACAGTCCACTATTACTGTGTACAAATAGGTAAATATATCAAAGAATGTTTTTAGACAAGTAGTATCAGCTGACTCATCGAACCCTGTGCGTTGTACCCATGTATTTGCCTGTATGTCTGCGCGCAGTTTCAGCCCTTACGAAAGTCGCTGTACTTTGGTCAACGCTGTACTTTTTTTGTGTCAATAAAGTACAATAGAATGATCCTGTCTTCTCAAGTTACTGTCTTTTGTCTCCTTTACCCACACACAGCGTCTTGAATGTGACCTCCCCGTGGAAGACACTTCCATTTCCAACCTACAGGGGTGTTCAAGCGGGTACCTTTTGGGGAATATTAGAAGGCAAAACTCACCACGACTATTTAAAAGCTCTTTTGAGATGTATACACTTGTAAAGAAAAGGACGCGACCGTACAGGTTCACTCAGGTCGGGCGGGGACACCCCTCCTTTCACAGTGAACTGATCCATATCAGGTAGTTCAACTCTACCTGACTATAGCCGTGGTTTTGTTGTGTCGTCGCTCATATAAGGTAACATTTATTCATGTATATAAATTTATTTACTCATGATTTCGGTGATATTTATGTACCATTTGTGATTCAAGACGGGAGTTTGTAGCATATGTGCGCCGGTTCTAAATGCCTTTGTTACGGCAGGTGGTTTTGTTTTCGATCTGGGGTTAGCCTGAGGTCAAGGTGACATACATGGCGGCCAGTTTTCCCTTGTCTTATTTCTGTCACGAGCGAAGACGAGGGGGTCTACTGGAAAGTGTTGTTTACACTTTTGGCTAAACAAGACGCGCCTTTACTTAGGACAAGATTGAAAGGTTCTTTATATTAGCAAGCTTAAAGACTTAGCTTCAAATGGGCTCCACAAAACACGAAACGTCCAAAGGACGACACGAAATTCCTACATGTATTACAACAGCAAACCGTTTTGTTTTTTCTATCAACAACATTTCAGAGCGAGCCTATGATCTGGACGCCACTAAGTATGATGAAAGGTGTGTGACGTGTTTGTGAGATGTCACCCTACAGAAATTTATTCAAAGATTCCTTTGGGAAAATATGAATTTATAGGCGGATTTATGGTGTCTTTGGCGCTCAATCGACCCGGAAGTGTGCCGACTGAGAGCAGTCGGGGGTGTTTCACGTAAAATAACCAGACACACAAACTCCCCTGGCATGTTGTCTGTCTCTTTTGCCAATTTCTACTGTGTGTGTATGTGTGTGTGTGTGTGTGTGTGTGTGTGTGTATGTGTGTGTGTGTTGAGTGTGTGTGCGTTGTATTTGTGTGTGTATGTGTGTGTGTGTGCGTGTGTCTGTGTTGAGAGTGTGTGTGTGTGCGTGTGTGTCTGTGTTGAGTGTGTGTGTGTGTTTCTGTGTAGAGTGTGTGTGTGTACGTGTGTCCTTTATGTGTGTGAGTGTGTCTGTGTTCTCTGTGTTTTACCTTCAGTCTTACCCCCACAGATACCATGTCAGCGGGTCTAACGTACGTGGTGACAGGAGGGTGCGGGTTTCTCGGCTCCCAAATTGTTGACTTACTGGTGCAGAGAGGGAAGAACATCTCCGAGATCCGCGTGGTCGATACGAAACTTCGCGGCCACAGCAAGTCTCCTGAGAACAGTGGTAGGAAATCTGTTCTCAAGTTTAGTGTTTAACTTAGTGTTTTGCTGAGGTTCATTTGCATGCTCTGTAAGGCGACACCTCTTAATTTTATGGATGACATACTCTGAAAACCCTCAAACTAGTGCGCGCGGGCGAATAAAAAAAAATTCAGGCCAAAAATAAAAATGCTACTAAACCACAGGAATACAAAGCTACTACTAGTATTGTGAATTTGCGGCAGTAGAGTCCATTCCGCGTCACCGAGTGGGTTTTTTCTCCATGTTTCTAATACGTTTGAATTATTTAGAAGAAAAGAATACCCCAGTAACAAAAGTTCTAAATTTTTCAAAAATTTGAAAATGAAAATTTGAATATATTTGAATTCATTTATATATTTCTGAAACATTTTGAAAGTGACTGTACAAAGATCTCTTTCTTTAGAATAAATTTGAACTACCCATGTGTTTCTTTCACAATTCGAAATATTTAGAACTATTTCAAACAAATAACAAAATGGTAGATGTGGGTAATTGCCCCCATAAAAGTAGGTGCTAATCCTACTCTTCTGTCTTCCTCTGTATATTTTTAGATTTCACTGCTGGACACTGGTGGCTCTTTTGTTGTAAGGCATCAATGCCTGACACCCAGACAGTCTGCCCTGTACTTCACAGGGATGTGTGAATTACTTCCTTCCCATCCCACTGACAAAATGTATTTACAAAATGTTAGAAATAATTCGAAATAATGGTAAAAAATGGTAGAGTGCTGTTAGAAATATTTAGAAACTATTGGAAATGTCATAATCCACATCAGGAATATTTCAAACGTTTTAGAAAACCAGGGAATTATTTAGAATATTGACAAGATGTTCAAAATATTTCCAAATTATGAAATTTCTTAGACAAACAATTACAAAGAATTCAAAACATTTCTAAATAATGACAATAACAACCCACTCGGTGACGCGGAATTGACTCTACATAGCGACGTATACGACAATATGACACATGCTGGGTTTTTGCGGAGTTTATGAGTCGGCACTATACGTATGTACTGAGTTTTTGAGTCGCGAAATTTCGGCAGCCTGGGTGCCATCCTCCAGAGTTACCACCGGCTCCGTATTTTCGCTAACTACAGTGGACTATAGCTACCCAGGCTTAGAGCCAGGCCAGAGCCTCGGAGGACGTGATTTTTTTGTTTGTTTTGTTTTTGAGAATAGGCAAAAGTCAATGAGTGCGCGAATGTCATCCATACAATTAATTCGGTGTTGCCTTATTCTATTTTTTGGGGGGAGGGGGTATTATGATATAATTTAGGGGTATCATATAGCCATCACAATTTTGCTGATGGCTTCTTAACTTCACGGTACTAGCCTGCCCGAGAACGCGAGTGAACAAGCGATTATGGTATATGTAACAAAGGCAATATGCATGCTTTAAAGCCGCCCTCTAGCAATTTAATGGAGGACTGCACTGCATTGGCTACGCTGATCCTATTACTGATCCTATTAACTGCAGCGAAACGTTTATCAATACATCAGAAACTATATAAGTCGCCGTTCCAAACAGTAGCTCACTACAGCACACATTACCAAGATTTGAAAATATTCTATTCATTTATACGTTAGGTGACACCAATTTATTTTGTTGTTTCTTGGATCGCCCTGTCCATTTTTTTTTCTGATTTGCAAAATTATAGAAAAACATTTTTTTTGGTGCAAAATCAACAGAAAAATGCTCAATGAAAGACATATTTGTCCCAACGGTTAAAAAAAAGTCCTAGTTGTTCAAGTTTTTCAACGTTACAATGCAATTTTGTTCCATTAAAAGTTCAAAATCTATTGTTTTAATTATAAACCAGCCTGATATATTCACTTTATGGCTCATATTGTAACATTTCCAGGGTGCCTTGGCCTGGTTTTTTTTTTTTATTTCACACTTTCGCCTCATTTTTTTTTCTGAAAAAATCCAAGAAAAAACAAATTTAAAAATTGGTGTGGCCTTAACAAGGAAACATGTCGCTAACAAAGTGATGACTGATAACATATAGGGGTCAAGGTCAAATTGGTCTGTGGTGACGTCACAAACATGGCGCAGATGACGGAGGTGTGCGCAGGCGCAGACGTTGTCATTCACACAGCGTCACTGATTGACGTTTTCGGATTGGTCAGCGACGTGACACTGTGGGACGTCAATGTCAAAGGTGTGTTCTCAAGGTCATCGTGATTACGTCACAGCTTGTTGCATTTTTTCTGTACTTTTTATGCTTTTTACTACGTTTCTTCTTCTTCTTTTTCTTCTGTTCCAAACACTAACCTCTGACCTGGCCAATGGCCTGATTTTGTTGATGTCTGTCACCATGGTAACTGGTGTTGGGCTAAATAATGTTGCAATTTTATAGGATGGATGTAGACCATATATAATGACCATGAATGTACACGCATTTGAGTAAGAAGAGCAAACCATGCGAAGGTAAACATTATGCATTTGCTTTGCAAATGTTACCTTTCTAGTTACTTCTATCAGTTGTACAAGAGAATCTGTTTAGGGTTTGAAAATAGAAATAAGTGCAGATATATTTATACAGTATATGATTATACATGACTCCTAAAATAACCGAAAATGGTCAGGGCGATTTTTTTACAGAACAGCTCACGTAGCAATTCCGTTATGATCTCCAAGCAATCTTAACAGTGATCACTATTTAATTTAAAAGCAAATGCAAAATGTTAACCTTCGAATATGGTCTGCTCTGTTAATTTGTTCTCGAGCACATTCATACATATGGTCAGACATGAGTCTAAATCCCCCCTGCTATAAAATTGCAACATGATGTAACGAAAATGTGCTAATAAATGGTAGTAGATAAAAAAATATCAAAAAGAATTCCTCATCGAGAATATTCTTGATACTCAGAAATTGCCTTATATATAACTTCAACATCACTTAATCCATGAACATGTTCTGATATGTAAATATAATACACAATGTAATTATAGTAAACGCATGAAGACTAGGCCGGATCTCATAGCTTGTTAACGTTAGACCGCAACATCTGTTATGTAATAGTATGTTTATCTGACGTGCAACCGACACTGTTAACCTGCACCACCTGTTCCGAATTGTTTATGTTCTTGTTGTGAGGGCTAGCCCTTTATAATAGCCTCCGGCTAGTTGGGCAGTCCTGGCTGTATACACATGTCTTATACAGTCTAATAAATCAAATCAAATCAACATTTTCCTTTCCCCCGAACACCAGGTACAGAGACCCTGCTCCAGTGCTGCCTGAATGAAGACGTTACCGGCTTCGTCTACACCAGCAGCCGGGGCGCCGTGGGGCCCAACCGGCGGGGCGACCCAATGGAGGACGGGGACGAGAGCACGCCGTACGATAGCTCGAACCAAGTTATTTTTTACAACCGGACCAAGGCGGCTGCGGAGTCGGCGGTTCTGAGGTGGAACGGACGGCGGACAAACGGCGGGAAAATTCTTTACACCTGCGCCTTAAGGCCGGCAGGTACGTCAGAACCACGAGTGTGTAGTTGGTTGGAAGTCGGTTGATCTTTAAGAAAGAAAAAGAGGGAGAAAGAAAAAAGAAAGAAAGAAAGAAAGAAAGAAGGAAGGAAGGAATGAAAGAAAGAACGAAAGAAAGAAAGAAAAAGAAAGAAAGAAAGTAAAAGAGAAAGAAAGAAAGAAAGAAAAGGAGAAAGGAAAAACGAAGGGAAAAAGAAAGAAAAAAGGAAGAAAGAGAAAAAATGGGGATCAATTAGTTTATGTTGAAAAGACCATATAACGAGTCCTTTTTGAAAAATGTTAAATTTTACAGGCCTTTATGGTGATGGTGAATGGGCTCTGTATAAGATGTGGCGGGACTTCGGCGTGGATCCGTTCGCCGGGCCTCTCACACGCCTCAGCCATCCCAAGGTCAAGGGCCAAATTTCGTACGTCGGGAACGTCGCCTGGGCTCACCTCCTGGCCGCGCAGACGCTGGTGACGTCACCAGGCAACGCAGGCGGTGAGGCGTTCTTCATAACCGACGACACGCCCATAGGGAGCGATGTTACACTGTGCAGCGAAATATGCGCCCCTATCGGGATTTGTTGGAACGACACCTTAGTCCTTCCTCTCTGGGTCCTATACTTACTCGCTTATCTTCTCGCTTTCCTGCGTTTTCTCTTGAAGCCGTTTTACAACTTCGTTCCCCCCATAACTCCGGCTTTGCTGACACTCCTGAACACGAACTTCTACTTCAACTGTAAGAAAGCCAGGCGTCTTCTCGGCTACAAGCCGCTCTTTACCTGGGAGGAGTCTAAACAGAAAACGCGGGAAGGGCTGATGGAATGGAAAACTAGGGAGTTCTCGCAAGGCCGTGGTTAGATAAAAAAATTGAAGGAAAAATAGTTGTACTATCATCAAAGTTCATGTGTCGGTAGTTACATGTTAAGAGTTAAAACTTTTGATCCAACACAAAAAGGTTCTCGCGATCGACGGGGGCCGACATCATCTACCAGATACCTTTGACCCAGTGTTGACGTCACACTTCAAAGAAGCCACGTGACAAGCTCCACTGGGTCAGTCTACTGAGGAAGACCAGAGTGACTGGTCGAAAGCTTTAGGTGAGAGAACTTTTATGTGTTGGACGAAAAGTTAACGTTTTAACTCTTAACGTGAAGGAAAAATGTAAAGATATCTTCCTGAATTGATTTGATTAATACTTCGTTAAGTAGGGGTGGTGGGCACTTGCACACCTTAGCTTTTGTCTTTCTTTTTGTATTTACATAATACATACATGTATTTCTCTTTGAGACTTTGAGAGATATCACAAAGACTAGATACTTTATTCGCTTTGTAAAACTACTCAAAGTTTGAACCTATATCTTTGGTATACGTAGTATCATATGACAAATGCAGAAAGAAGAACAGTACATATATTTAGCCCAGACAATTTTAACAGTTCGTATCTTACTATGAACGTGCGGTTATTTGAGACAGATAACATTAGCAAGAAACCGTCAAATACATTTTATTACTGTATTACTATGGTGTCTTCTGATATTCATAAAGGTCAGTCCAATCCGTCTTGGTTTTATCTTGCAGTGTGCAGACTTTGTAAGAAACGTGACTCAATAAATTATAAGACCTAAATGTCAAATTGAGCGATCGTCCGTGTAACTATTAGAGACAGTTTAACAGCAGAGGTAGACCTTTCAAATTGACACCCTAGATATATAAAATATGTCCTCTGGCTGTGGGGTATCGTCGGGGATTTTGGTTTATTTTCGAATTGAGACCATTAAAAAGTAAAACCAGTACATTGCAACAGTGGCGATATGATAGAGATAGTTTGATAATTTATATATTACTATTATCATTATTATTATCATTATCATTATCATCATTATCATTATCATTATCATTATTATTATTATCATTATCATTATTATTATCATCATTTTTATTATTATTATTATTATTATTATTATTATTATTATTATTATTATTATTATTATTATTATTATTATTATTATTATTATTATTATTATTATTATTATTATTATTATTATTATTATTATTATTATTATTATTATTATTATTATTATTATTATCATTATTATCATTATTATCATTATTATCATTATTATCATTATTATTATTATTATTATAACGAACACAAAAGCATGGACTAATGATGTACAACTTGCTTGCCTACTTATTTATGTATTTGTTGTTTATTATTTGTTTATGGCCCCTTGTGACCCCTCACTCCTCTCGAAAAACGGCCTGTCAGCCAAACAAGCAATGGAGATTAAAGAAAGGATTCATACTGCATGCATCCATTTCCTTTCCATTCTTTTTTCATTCATTCATTCAGTAATCCAGTCATTCATTCATTCATTCATTCATTCATTCATTCATACATTCATTCATTTATACATATCATTAATATCATAACTAGATATACTCTCCAAGCAGAGGTTTTGGTTTTGGGGTTATTTTTAGTGTGTTTTTAGGCTTTTTTATTGGGGTTTCTCTTTTGCACTGATTTTTTTTCCCACCAAAAATACCCCCAAAAACCAAACCTCTGCTTGGAGAGTACTACTTGGCTTTCCTTTGTTATTTAGTATATTACTAGGACAATTGAACTTAAAAAAAACTTGTGAAAAAATGTAGTTTAAAAAAAAATAAAAGTAAACTTAAGGTATGAACGTGTCGCCACAATGGTTGACTACTTCTGACCATTGTTGACCAAAGCTTATACAAAAGCCTTCTTTTATTAATTCATTAGAATTTCAAGACAAGAGAAATACGTTATGTAATAAATAAATGAAACAATACGAATATAATGAGAACGGTACAATAAAGAATTTGTGACATAGGATACAAAACTTCTCTGGGGTCGTGTGGCGTAACGGCAGCGTGCTTGACTCGGACCAAGAGGTCCCGGGTTCGAGTCCTGACATGCCACCGATCTTGCGCCCTTTGGAAAGGCACTTTACACGACTTTCCTTACTTAACTCAAGTGCAAATGAGTATTGTTTTGTCCTGTATTGAATTTCGTCCTCTGCGTTGGTGGCGGCTTAAAATAGGTTGATATAACTTGAGTGTGCTGTCACCATGTCTAGTCATGAAATGTTGTAATATAAAAAAAAACAGCTAACATAACCACGCATGGATATAGAGACGCAGATTACGGAAATGTGGGTTTATTTATGAAATCAGCTCGTTTTGTTACAATTCACCAGTTTCCCATCCCCAGAATGCAATGCGAAAATACGGGGGTAACCCTCATTTACATAGGACTGGAAGGCATCGGAATGATCCTGTTAACGTTAAACAGCTTACTTTTCAGTGTGTTTTGAGGTGTTGGGGCATTTTATGCTTAACTTTAATTAAATTACTATGGGTTGAATCTGAAAACAAATAAAAAATGCATTTTATTAATATGTGGTTTGTAACGTCATAGTGGTAACGCTATACTGATGCTGTAACGTTACAAACCACATGTTCCACGTTAAAAAGAACACTCCAACTTCATTTTCTATTTGTTGTCAGATTCGGCCCATAGACTTAATTAATGTTGAGCATAAAATGCCCCAACACCTCAAAACGCAGTGAAAAGCAAGCTGTTTAACGTCACCAGGATCATTCCGATGCCTTCCAGTCCTATGCAAATGAGGGTTACCCCCCTATTTTTTCATTGCATTCTGGGGATGGGAAACTGGTGAATAGATGTGACCACTCCGTAACGAATCAGTACGGCGTACTGCACATCCCTGATCACCTAATCGTCATTTTTCGCTCTTGTTTTGTTTCGGAACATGGAATGCTGTGGAGAATTACAATGTAAAAGATTTGATACGTTCTATTCACCCATGTGCTCTTTTCCTAATCGCAAATTTGCCGACACATTATTGGGCCATGTTGGCTTGATTATATGGATGACATCCACGCGCGCATGAATTTTTGTCCATTTCCAAAACAAAAATAGACCATATTGTAAATCGTACAAAATGAGCGAATATTGAATGTTGAATGTCGAAAGTATTGGAAAATGATACTTATATAATTCTATAGAATGCCAAAATCAATTCAGAAAAAGAAGAAAATGTGAAGAAATGAAAATAAAGAGTCTATTATTATTCACTATACCATACTCTGTGTGTTTAGTCATTTGTTCAACGTTTATGACCACGTAGATTTCATAATAAAGGATTTTTTTAAAAAGCACGCTCGCATAAGATTTAGGGTTCCCAGAGGATGTCATCCATATAATCAATTCAACATGGCCTATGTCGTATAACACACGAGAACCGTGGATAAGCAGATATGAAACAATACGAACGGACCGAATTGGCAACGCGACCCATAGAGAGAAGCGTTCTCATGAACATCATTTATACCTAGCCGCGTTCCTTGATGCTGACATTTGGCCACAGCAAGTAATTTTTATGGATGACATCCGCGCGCGCATTCATTTTTGCCTGATTTTGAGAGAAAAAGAAGCAAGATTTTGTTGCCTTCTGACAGTAGTCAACATCCCGAAAATGGGCAGAGCCGGAAGGTGGATGGCGGGTAACTATAAGGAGAGGAGACAAGAAAAGGCTCTGATTTTATATTTTGTTTCTTACTTTGATGCAGTGATATGTGATGTTGACTGTATATATGTGATGTTCCCACTGAATCAAAACCATTTGTACAATGATTGAGTCAAAATTTTAAAATGTAAGAACCTTGTTTTTTTTTTCAGTCCACCTTGCATTTTTTTTCTCTCGCTGGCATTAGATTTGGAGTCTGCGGAGGATGTCATCCATAAAATTTACTTGCTGTGGCCTTAGTACTGAAACTGAATACGTCGCGTTTCCATGTCGGTCAGTCAAGTCGTCACAGTTGGCAGCTCGGAGAAGAATACAATGTGTACAATGATTGAGTCAACATTTAAGAAATGTTGGTTTTCGGCACGCCTTGTTTTTTTTCTCCCGGTCGCATTAGATTTGAAGTCTGTGGAGGATGTCATCCATAAAAATTTTACTTGCTGTGGCCTTAGGGAATAGGAGAGAGAGTGACGGACGCGTTTTAGTGATAGGAGAAACTGCACCCACATTCGTAATACGTACTACAACGTCTATGGTGGCAATTGAAAGAGGTCTTGATTCGCGATTGAAATGATCTAATTATCCCATTTGCTTCATCGCTGTATGGACCGTTTCTACACTTTGGAGGACATCAAATTGAATCCGGCTGTTTTCTGTATTGGATGCATCTTGCAGGTTAGTGGTTTATATCCTGTACGTATAGACATATTTTTTATTGCTGTCATTGTTTGTATTTTTTTTATCTGTATCTTTTATATGGGCGAGTTATGCCTGAAATAAAGAATAAAGAAAGATACCACACGTTGTGCAGGTGTTGTAGCTTTCACTGGCATAGGGTATTTTTGTGTGGAATACGGAATCTAAATCTAGACTAGAGAGCCAACTACCGTGTTTTAATGTCCACCTACACTTCGTATAGGACTGTTCAACTATACCCGAAACTATAGGTCTGTTAACAATTAAGAATTTACCATTTATAGTCAATACTGGCCGAGGGAGGCCATGTATACATGTTTTGCATGTGATCTGGCTTCGAAACAATTAAATTAGTTGGCTAAATTGAACACCAGTGCGGCAACAGATTGACCTAATAAAATACCATTCCGGTGCTGTAACTGAATACAGCTACGTGTTTCGGTTCTGGTACATCAAATTCATAGCAGCAATATTATAGCATACATGTGCTGGGTTTGTATGTAGGGCTAGAATAGTTCTCATACTAGAGTTCCACGATCTCATACCTTCGCCAAATAATGTTAATCTTTAAATCTTTGATTATAGATT